AGAAATTAAAGGCATCTATATTGGAAAGAAAGAAGTAAAACTGCCAGTATTTGCAAATGACAATCTACTGTACATAGGGAACCCTAAAGATTCCACCAAGAAACTACTAGAATTGATAAATGAATTCAGTAAAGTAGCAAGATACAAAATTAATATCCATAAGCCAGTTTCATTTTTATGTGCCAATTATGAACTATTAGAAAGGGAAATTAAGAAAATAATCCCATTCACGATTGCTCCAAAAAGAATAAAATACCTAGGAATAAATGTAACAAAGGATATAAAACCTGTACTTAGAAAATTGTAAGACACTGAAGAAAGAAACTGAAGAAAATACAATTAAGTGGAAGCACATACTATGTTCATGGGTAGGATAAATTAACATCATTAAAATGTCCATACTACCCAAAGTAATCTACAGCTTCAATGCAATTCTTATGAAGATTCCAATGTTGTATTTTACAGAACTACAACAAATATTTCAAAAATGTATATGGAACCCCAAAAGATCCCATACAGCAAGAATAATCTTGAGAGAGAAGAAAAAGTTGGATGAATCATGCTACCTACTATGACATTATAGAAAAAATGGAGACAACTATAATTGAATAACAAAATTTTTAAAAAAAAATCAGCAGGGTAAAAAAACAGACACACAGACCAATGGAACAGAATAGAGAGCCCAGAAATAAACCTGTGCCTTTATAGTCACTAGTATTTGGCAGAGGAAGCAAGTACATACAGTGGGCTAAAGATAGTCTATTCAATATATGGTGTTGGGAAAATTGAACACATACATGTAGAAAAATGAAACTAGAGCACCTTCTACACCACACACAAGAATAAATTCAAAATGGATTAAAGACTTAAATGTTAGACTTGAAACCATAAACATTCCAGAAGAAAACATAGGCACTAAAATCTTGGGCATTGCTCATAGCAAGGCAAGCAAAAGAAAAAATAAACAAATGGGACCACGTAAAACTAAAAAGATTGCACAGCAAAGGAAACCATCAACAAAATGAAGAGATGACCCACTGAATGGGAGAACATATTCACTGATACACCTGATAAGGGGTTAATATCCAAAATTTATAAGAACTTATAAAACTCAATACCCAAAAAAGAGAACACCTGAACTACCAGCCAAGATGAAGGTGTAAGTAGATGCACTTTGCTTTCTTGCACAACTAAAAGAAGGACAACAAGAAATTTAAAAACAAAAAACAATCAAAACTGCCAGAAAATCTAACTGTATGGAAGTCCAACAACCACAGAGTTAGAGGGAAAACATTAATCCAGACCAGTAGGAGGAGTGGACTCGGGCAATCAGGGTGGAGAGGATGCATGGCAGGGCGGTAGACCAGCCAGGTGAGGCGGTGGTTGGTGGACCGGGAAGTACCACATTCACATGCAGATAAGCTGGGAGGAACACCCAGGGAGCGAGAGAGACAGTACAACCCAGGGCTGCACAGGGAAACTAAAGCCTCAAAACCTCTGGCTGTAAAATTCTGTGAGGATTGTAAAAAGAAGAGTTTGTTGGAGAGACACACAGGGTCCTACAATGTAAACAAACCCACCCACCTAAGAATCAACACCAGAAGGGCCAAATTTACTTGTGAGTAGTGGGGGAAGCGACTGAAAGCCAGCTGAGAGCCAAGCACACAGAATTGTTCCCTCTTGGACCCCTCCCCCACATATAGTGCCGCAATGCATTGCATGGCTTGTACTGCCCGGGTGAATACATAAGGTTCCACTACTTACAATGTAACAGGTGTGCCAAGAGAAAGGAATATGGTCCAAAGGAAAAAAAAAAGAACAAAATTTCAGAAAAATAATTAAGTGACAAGGTGATAGCCAACCTATCAGATACAGAGTTCAAACACCAGTAATCAGGATGCTCACAGAAATGGTTGAGTATCCGAAAAACCCAAAACACTAAATCAAAGAATATAAGCACCCCTATGTTCATTGCAGTCTTATTAACAATAGTTAAGATTGGGAAGCAGTCCAAGTGTCCATCAGATGAGTGGATAAAACATCTGTGGCACATTTACACAATGGAATACTACTGGGCCATAAAAAAAGGAGGAAAATTCTCTTTTTGCAACAACATGGTTGAACCTGGAGAACAATATGTTAAGCAAAATAAGCCAGTCAGAGAAAGACAAATACTGTTTGATTTCACTCATATGGGGAATTTAATGAACAAACTGAACTAACAAGCAAAACAGACAGACTCTTTGGACTCATAGGTAGAGAGCAGGCTGGCCATTTCTAGGGGGAGGGGATGTATAGGAATCAAGCAAAAGAGGAAAAAGACTCACAGATGATGCGGACACCGGCCCACAGTGTCCAAGTCATTATGGATGAAATGAGACATTCACACGGACTACCGAGTCTGGTGGGAGAAAAGGGACAGCACGGCTTTTTCTCTCAAGGGGACCAAAAGCCACGGCCCTTGCCATGACTGGCTTTTATTGGGTTTCTCAGCACATTACATGAAGGTCCTCATTTACTATGCACAGGTTGCTTTAGGTGATTACCTTTTACAGAAGACAAAGAAGCCAATGCCACTCATTAATCACATCACAGAAGAGGGATATTTGCAAATGAAAAAGGAAAAGTGGTTGAACCAGTTACACTCCAAACTGGGGGTTTTTAGCATGGATTTTAGGAAGTTACAGTAAGCAGTCGTTGTCTCAATTCAGGGTGAGGAAGTTTTTAAGCAAAAAGCAAGACTCAAAGTAGCTTAAGCACATTGCAGGCCTGATTCCCCATGGGAAAACCTATCCATGGGCATGGGTTCTGTGCATCTCTGAGTGGGAGCTGGGCCCAGGCCATGCACAATGGTCTCCTACACATGGACATGGACAACAGTGTTTGGATTGCCTGAGGGAGAAGGGGTGGAGGTGGAGGAGAGTATAAGGGGGGATAAATGGTAATGTGAAAAAGAGAAATAAATAAAAAATGGAAAGTTAAAGAAAAGAAAAGAAAATGATAGGCTAATTTTCACAGGATCTGTTGGCTTCCCTGAGCAGTGCACTAAATGGAACAGAAAACTCAACGGGTCTTTTAGCTGGTTTTCTTACTAACAGAGAATTCAGAAGTGAGAACCTGTTCAGCCTCCAAAGTGAGAACTGTTACCTTAAACTTTCCCCCTTGCTGATGTTGAAGGCATCCCTCACAACAGAGAGATGTCAAAGTTGTTCACCTGGAAAATGTCATAAGATGAGGGCTGTGTATTCTGTGGAGATGTTATTTGGGTGGTAAGTTTGTCAATGAATTTCCCTTCTAAATTTTAAACAAGAGCAAGACTTTTTAACAGCCATTTTCATGAAGTGTGTCCAAATGACCAGTACAAATATGAAAAAGTGATCATTATCATTAGGCAACAAAATGCAAATTAAAACCTCAATACGATGCTGCTAAAATTAAAAAGACAGATAGTACATGTGTTGGTGAAGATATGGAGCAATTGGAACTCTCATAAATTGCTGGTAAGAGTGTACATTGTAAAGCCACTTTGGAATGTTATCAAAGCTTAACATATGTGTACCCTATGACCCAGCAATTCTACTCCTAAGTATGCACCCAACATACTCAAATGCCATGAGTAAGTGCCCTGTCCGCCAAAAAGACAGGTGAAACATGTTCAGAGCCTCCTTATCAATAATAGCATCCAACTGTAAATAATTCAGCACAATAGAATGGATAAATTATACTCATACGATGAAATACGACATAGAAATGAATATAAGCAAACTACTGAGATATATAGCAATGTGGTTTAAACAAAAGACACCAACAATAACCAGTGTATGACTTATACAAAGTTCAAAAACAGACAAAATTAGCGATGATAGAGATGAGAACAACAGTAATCCTGGGTGCGCGGGGCAGGAGTGACTAGATGGTGACCTGTGAACCTTCTGGGGGGCTGGAAATGTTTTATATTGTGACCTGATGGTGGTTACATGGGTGTGTGGGGAAATTAATTGAGCTGTACCTTTTAGATTTATACACGTTGTGTGTAAAGTATGCATATATTAATTATGTATTACTATACATATGTTTTACACATATATTTAACTATATATAATAAAGAATAAAGCTTGAGGCAAGTAATAATTCTGTTGCTGAGAACCTATACCTCAAATACAAACATTTTCAATTCTTAACAATATACCATATTTCACTAGGACAAAAAGCCTAAAAATATTATCTTTGAATTTAAAAAAAATTTAAAAAGACATTTAGCAAAACGGTAGTAATGTGATTGTGGGCTGTGTTTATTGTCTTTATATTTTTAAGTAGTTTTTAAATGTTCTGTGGAGAGCAGGCAAATAATTTTAGAGTATCTGATAAAATGCGAACTAAAAATAGTACCTCATTTCATTTTCATTCATTTAGTTATAATATTAACATTTAATAGTTTTCCTTTTGTGGGTGTATTTTAAACTAAAGAGATAATTGAAAATTAGGACTCTTTGGGCTAGTCCCCTTTTGGGTAATACACACTGAAAATTTATATTTTTCACTTATTAAAACCATATGCAAGCACGTGTCTTTCTTGCTTTCTGTGAAAGCAGTGAAGCCTGGTGCCAGGCATGTGGGCTTGTGTCTGGCTCCTTTAGTTTATAGACTCAGCTCTGCCATCTCTTAGTTCATGACTGTAGGCGACTGACTTACCCACTCTAATTATCAGTTTCTTCTGAAGTAGGGGTGACAACAGTCTCCAGAGCAAAAGGGTCATCCAAAATATAAGTGCTTTTGTTATTGTTAGTGCCACGGTATATGATTATATTATTTTTGCTCTATGTGTCTGTGGGTCTAGTAATATTGTTATATTTAAGGTGAATTTTGAAAGATATTTCGCATTAAAAATTACTAAGCTTTCGGAGCTCTCAAAAATTAAATTGCATAGCTCTAACCAACTGATCTACCAATGTACAGTGGACATCAGCGATCATTTACATTTTCCAATTCTCATAACACAGGCAGAGCAGTGGTTCTATTTCACACATGTGGACACTGAGACTCAAGGAGGTGAAATGAGCCCCCAGAAGAAAAGGAAGAACCAGAGTAGAGCAGAGGTCTCCTTCTGACTTGCAGTCCCCGCAGTGCTTGCTCCACATCATCGCACCCACCACAGTTGGCAAAGGGCACTTTCCTTCCGGGTGAGTTTAACCTTTCATTTCTACATGCCTCCCTGGTTTCTCTTGATCTGAACTGGGTGCGTCACCCCACTTCAGTCTCCCACACACTTCCCCTCAATCACTCTGTGATCAGTGAATTTCCCCAGTAACACACATGAGCTCATATTGGCCCTTTGCCAGAAGTGCCGCTCTCTTTCAAAGCTAAAATCATATTTTTCATCCTTTCTAATATATTTCCTAATTTACTTCATGCAGTACTCTTTTTAATTTCAGCCTCTCTTCAATCCTGATTAATACTTTCTTTTTCCTCTTACTTAGCACTAACAGTGCTGTTTTGTATTACACATAATTGGGTATTTTTCTTTCTGTACAATTCTATAATTTACCTTAAAACCTCTTATGGTACCTAGAATAAAGGCTCAAAAATGAAAGATGCCTAATAGATATGTACTGAATGGATGGATGTGTTAATAATGTAGCAAGAAGATAAGTATACATTTTTAAATATATATTTAAGAAATAAGTTTGGAGGCACATAACATAGTATTCAGAAGTGTACTGTCAGGATATTTGAATGTAGCAAATGATTTGCAAATTCTACTTGCATTCCATTCATTCAAAATTTTTGAGGTCTTAAAAATAGGATTTTTCTTCAGTTGTCCTTGGCTCTGATCTCATTAATATACTGGAAATGAATTTGCTCTTCTCTGCAGGCACATTAACTTCTACAGGCCACAGAGATAGGGCACTTGTAGAAAATTTCTTGAATGTCAGACAGATCAGAGACCAGGGCCAGAAGTCATTGGTAAAAGATATGTAGCCATCCTTTCCCCAGGTGGGTCAGGATGCTCTTGCCCAAGGCAACATGGTATTCAACTGGTTTGTTTCACAAACTCCTGCCATTAAATGGCAGAGTTTGTTTCACAAACTCAATGCCATTAAAGAGACTGGTGGAAAAACCCTTTTGTGTATGGCATGTTGATTATATTACCTAATACAAAATATGGTCCTGCACACTGGGTGAGCTATGCATGTCAATTTTTAATGTCTCCCTTTCTGATCATGAGTTTCATATGGCAGGAGATGTACTTGAAATACTTAATGCAGTACATTTCATCCATTAAGAAATATTGAACTGAATATGCAAACTAAAAAGTACAAATGCAAGTAAATTTGTATTTTGAACCAAAGAACCTGCACTTTTAAAAAATAAATTTTGTTTAAAACTTTTAAATTAAAAAAGAAATTTCAGCTTTTTTTTGGATGATGAATCACTTTTAATATTCTGAAATTCTCAGTTAACAGCAAGGTTCAGTAGATGCAAATTTTGCCAACAAGGAAGTGGAGTGGGAATTTCCAGATATTTCCACAGGTAAATAAATATGTCAGAAGCTTGGACATGGATCAGATGAAACTTATGTAACCACTGGCTGATTACCAGACCTCAGAGTACTTGATGAGTAAGAGTTTTGTATTGTCTGAATTTCCCAGACAAACAAATCCAATAGCACATGTGTGTACTCACATGCATACTAATATGTCTGTATATGATTATAAGGATTTGGCTCATATGATTATGGAGGCTGAGATTTCCAAGATCTTCAGTCAGCAAGCTGGAATTCCAGGAGAGCTGATAGTGTAGTTCCAGGCCAAGTTCAAAGACCTGAGAACCATGAGAGTCAGTGGAGTAAATTCTAGTCCAAGTTTAAAGGCAGAGAAGACTAATTCCCCAGCTAGAAAGCAGGCGGAGGGGAGTTCCTTCTTACTCACAGGGGGGTTAGCCTTTCTGTTCTATTCAAGTCTTCAACTGACTGAATGAGGTCCACTCACACTTGGAGAAGGCAATCTGCTTTACTCAGTCTGCCAATTCAAATGTGAATCTCAGCCAAAATGCCTTCACTGAATATTATGTTAAGTGAAATAAGTAGGTCAGAGAAAGACAAATACCTTATGATTTCACTTATGTGTGGAATCTAATGAACAAAATAAATGAACAAACAAAATTGAGACAGACTCATGGATACAGAGAACAGACTGGTGGATGCCAAAGAGGAGGGGGGCTGGTGGACTGGGTGAAAAAGGTGAGGAGATGAAGTGTATAAACTGGCAGTTGTAAAACTGTCACAGGGATGTAAAGTATAGCATAGGGAATATAGTCAATAATATTGTAATCACTGTGGATGGTGCCAGGTAGCTACTGACAATATCAGGGCAATTTGTAAAGTTTATGGTTGTCTAACCACTATGCTGTACACCTGAAACTACTACAACCATTACAGTTGAATGTAAACTGTAATTGAAAAATGAAGTTGAAAAATCAAGACACCCTCACAGACTGTCAGAATAATGTTTGACCAATTACTGCATTTTGCCATGTATAATTGCACTTTCTTGACCAAATTTTTGAAGGAAAAATAAGGATGTACATCATACATGGGTATAACGATTACATACCATGGTATAATAACCCCATGTATAATGTGCACAAAAACATGGGTGCGCATTGTACACAGGAGTGCATTATGCACAGCAAAAAGCAGGTATATGGGCACCCCCGTGGCCCAGTCAGGTTGGCACATAAAATCAATCATCACAAGCTGTTTCAACAGGATCTCCCCCACCCACTACCCAAAATAATAAACATCACTCTTTAAGTTGGAGCCTAGATTAGGAAACTCACCTTCTTTGGGCAACAGTGATGGGATAAAGGAGCACAGATTCTGGAGTTAAATTGATCTGGATTAAAATGACCCCTCTCATTCACTTTCTAGCAATGCATATTTGGATAAACTAATTAACTTCTCAATTTCCTTACTCACGAAGCACAATTAGTCATAGATTACCAGGGAAAAATATTTGTGATGTGCTTCTCACGTACATAAGCATTCAATATATCATGTCTATTATCATTAGCAATTCCCTCTGGATTTACACATCACTGTTCCAAAAAATAATTATTTTGCATTTCGTACTTTAGTTAACATAGAAGATTGTTTGCAGATTGGAGGATGAAGCAATGTTGCTTGGATGTCATATTTTTTAGGGTATGTTCAGCGTTCTTTTGAAATCACAGAAATGTATAGACAATTTTAAATAAAATCTTGAAAATCAAACCAGACCATGATATTAATTCTCTATATGCTCCATGGTCCTCTGTTATGTGCTATAGTTTTGAGACATCCTAAATCTACCTTGGGTGTCTGGAGCGTCAGACTCAGTAAAGCAAGACAAGAAGGAAACAAGGCGCGGGTTCATTGATGGACAGCAAAGTGTTCCCTCTTGTTTACAAAGTGTTCCCTACTAGGTCATGCCGATTTGGAGACTGAAAAAAACATGGTGTTGGGACTACTTACAGGGCATTTTAATTTGGTTACATAGAACTCCATGTGCTTGTTTGGGGCACAAATTCATTATGGCCCCAGTGACGAGAACAAATGCTGACCAGTGGCTGATTGAACATTGTTTATCTCATTATCCTGGTATCCCACCCCCTGGAACAAATGATCCAGGCTTAATGATAATGGACATGCTATAAACTCAACACTAGAAATGCATCTTGGGGGCAGTAGTCATGGACCTGTGTTGGCAGTCAGGCCAGGCCTTAGTGATGTTATGAAGCAGTGTGTGTTGCCTGTTTGTTGACTTCATCTTCTCTTTCATACTACCTTCCTCTTTTCCAGACCAACTACCATTATGGATATTCTTCCTTTCCTGTGTTCTCTCTGTAAAATCAGGAAGATAAAAATTACTTTCTAAATTGAGTAAAAATTAAATAAGGTAATGTCTATGGTAAGCCACGGATTATTATAAACACTTGTAGTTGCTTCATAATTAGAGCAATACTATTGATTTTGCATTTCCCTTACAGAACTGCAAGCTTCCGAGGCAGGTGCCTCGTTCATCACTGATCCCCAGGAACTGGCACTGCACCAAGCATTTAAGAGGAATGCAACAGCATTTATTAAATGAATGGGTAGATGGGTAGGTGGATAGATGGACGAATGGGTGACAGACCATAGAGTAAGTGAATAGATGTATATTTTGAAATTCAAAAAGTTGCTGGATGCATCATCCTTGTGCCTCTTCTCTGCCTGGACAGCACTCACTGACTGTGGAAGAAAAGCACAATTCTCTTTCATGATTAACCAATAACTGACAGTTTATCTGAAGTTTTAATCCCTATAATGTTGACATAATAGTTTGTAAGGGTTTTTTATTTTTAATTAAATTAAATTATTTGATTAATTAATTTTTATTTATTTATTAACAACCATAAGCCGAGGTTAGTTCTCCAAAGTAGGCAGGAAAAAAATCATTTGACCCTAAAATTCATACTAAAAAATAAAAGCTAGTAATGTATTTTTAGTTAATTACTGTGCTTACGAATTTTGAGTCAGAATAACCACTAGGGCTAGTGGTGATAGAGCCACACCTATTATTTCTGCTAAGTGCCATCCTAAATTAAACATCACCTGTATTATTATTTTTTAAGCTTAATTATTCCAGAGAGCATAAAGAGCTGACATTGTCCTGTGGACATGAGAAACATCTATTTGCCCTTATTAACTGTGCTGCTAAATGCCAGGCTCCAAAAGCACTTTATAAATGTAGAATCGCTATGTTGTATTCCTGAAATAGATTCTTTTATGTCAACCATGCTTGAAATTTTTTTAAAAAGGAAACTGCCGCCACCACCGCCACCACCAAAATACATATTAAAAATGCCATATTCTTAGTAGTCAGGCCAAGTAAATGGAAAATGAAGTGTCAAAAAAAGAAACTGCACTGAGGCTTTCCTCTCACAGTGTGGTCTGTGGACCGGCAGCAGGGGGTTCTCTCAACCCACCGAAACCTACTTCGTTAGAATTTGTGTCCTGACAAAATCCCCAGATGATTCACATGCATTTAACATTCGAGAACTTTCGTGAGAGACAGGTGCCATCATAGAAAGTCAGAAGTGGGGGCCTCACCTCCCCCCAGAATTGGTGGTCATTTAAGCCTGCCTGCTGAGAAGTTGGGCATTTGGAAGACAAGAAGAGAGAAGCAGAAGTTAGATACTTGGAGATGGAGGTGGTAGCCTGGGTTCTTGAATTTTCTGCACCAGGCTCCCTGAGAGCAAACTTTCCTTCATTTTTTGGTCTTGGATGTCCAGGTTTCTGGTTGTATCCTTACCATAAGCCTCCCTCTTTACATTAGCTAGCTGGAGTGAGTGAACTAAATCATGTTTAAAAGGAAATTAAAGTGAATATTTGAAGTCATTTTGCATGCCCTGTACAGGTATTATTTATGAGCAATTTACATTTCCTGTTTTTTTTAATATCCATTAAATAATACATAGTCAGTATTTTAAAAATTAATTGTTTAGAGGAAACCAAAGTAGAAAAGCCTTTTTCCCCCTCGGGCCTCACTCCCACTTCCCAGAGGTAACCAGTTAACAATGTCTTGTGTAAGTAATTAATATTTCAATTATTATTATATTAAAATATAAATATAACAAAACATAATAAGCCAATAGCTTTATATTAATATACTCTATGATACAGCACATTGTATTATATATTAATATAATACACATAAATATAATATAAATATAAATAATATAAAACATAAGTTTATATCATTATAAAATTTTTATATTTATTATATTATATTATTATAGGAAACATGCAATGCTCTGTTTTCCCCACTCCTTGGCAGCAACAAAAGAGGAGAAAGCAGATCATGTTGTTAATATTATCAATATATCTAGAGGGATACATATAATATCTAAAATTTATTTAACTCATAACTTTTTAAAATGTCCTTCTGTAGTTTTATTTCTAAAATAGTCATTGGAGGCAGGCAGTACAAATATCACCCCTGTCATAGATTTGACATAGGGATGCACTGCACCCCTGTCATAGATTTGACATAGGGATGCACTGAGGCTCAAAATCCTAACCTCGGTTTTCACTGAGGTTCCCTGGATAAGTAGTTAAGTGACAGTTCCTGCCGTGTTAGCTTTAAAATAATTGAGGACATTATCTTTTGAGTCTCATGCAGGGATGTTCTTTTAGAATTAGTGCTAGAGACAGACCACTGTCCCTGAGAAACTCAAATGCCTCCTAAAGGCCAAATCACTGACCACATTTTTAACTTTTTCCTCAATGGCTAGGGTGCTGTGAATGAGAAAGAGGCCCTGTAATAAACCAGACAAACTGTCAGAGTACCACACGGTGACTCAAAGTAACCCAACAGGATGGTCCAATGACATTTCTCACTGGACAGTCCCTGCGGGTGGTTACGCCCCAGGCCTGGCTTCCTTAGCAAAGGTCTTCTTTACCGTAAGTGGGCCCTGTCCACGGCTCTTTTGCATGTAGGACAACGTATCTATGCAATATCAGAGGAATTCTCTTTTCCAGACCCCTGAAGGCACATCCTCAGGCACCAGAGCACAAAAGGACCAGCACGCAAGATGACAGAACCCCTTGTTCTTATCTTATTCCCCGCATACCATCTCTGTGTGCTGTAACTGTTCACTATCCCGTACCAACCAGTGTAGAAGAAGTATGTGTTTCTGCATTTCCTATCTGATCTAATCACACAGGTTTCTCTGCTCTGCTTTCTCCTGCCCCTTCAATCTACCACCGATGGATTTCCCATCACCTCCCTTACATCTTCTTTAATTCTAATGTATAGAATAAGCTATAAAACTGCCATCCTCCAGAGCATGTTTCTCAAGTTAGAAGTTTGGTTCTGGGCCTGTCCTCAAAATCTTAGATCAAATAAACTTGTATAAAAGTATTTCTACAGGCTGGACGTTCTCTTGTGGACAGTGCTCAGAGCTGAACTAGAAGTCAACCACAGTTGACTTCTCCAGTCAGCATATTTGGTTCTTTTCCTTGGCTATGAGCTCCTATTTCTATGTCACTATTTCACTGTATTTTGTGTGTGTGTGTGTGTAATTGAAATCTGCTTTAAGTATTTTGTGGAATAAAGATGGAGTTTGGATAAATATGACTTCTAAACTGAGGAAACCAAGGCACCAATGAACACTAACATAAATTTATTGACATGTTTGCTGGTAGCACTAGAACTGGAATTGTGCTTTCCTAAGTTCTAGTTCATGCTGCTTCCTCTATCCCACACAAACAGAGTGTCAAGATTTGCCTCCTTAACCATGGGACATAATATAATATATTTGTTTTTAAAAGTATGGCAATCCTGACAGTTACCAGAGGGGAGGTGGGAAAGGATAATGGTGGTGGTAAAGGAGGAAGGGTTTTCAGGAACATCTATAAAGGACACATGGACAAAACCAATGGGGGTGGGATCAAAGGTGGGAAGTGGGGATGGCTGAGGTGGGGGAGAAGTGGAGACAATTGTACTTGAACAACAATAAAAAAATAATAAAATAAAGATATGACAATCGTGCAAATATCACTGCTGAATGTTGTTTGAATTGAAAACTTGCTTCAACTTTTGAAGGCCATCCAACTTTGCTTCAGGATCTGCCTAGTGCTGGGAGGCTGGAATTTGCCAGCAAATACAAGAGATGAAGGTCCTATAGTTCTTGCTGCACTAAATAGTCCTTTAAAAATGCAGAACATCATTTTATTCTGTCAGTCCTTTTCCAAATGGATTGCAAGTATTTACCTTAAATCAAAACATATAAAGGGGATAAAAGGCAAAGCAGTTTGGTGGCAGAGAAGTGACACACTCTAAAAAGGACTATTTTAAGTCTTAGAGGAAACTCCATACTGCTTTTCCACAGAGGCTGCACCAGTCTGCACTCCCACCAACAGGGCACTGGGGTTCCCTGTCTCCACATCCTCATTAGCATTTCTTTGTTGATATAGTGATGACAGCCATTCTGACATGTGTGAGGCAATATCTCATTGTGGTTTTAATTTGTATTTCTCTGATGATTAGTTTTAATTTTTTAATAGATTTTATTTATTTACCTTTAGAGGGGAAGGGAAGGAGAGAGGGAGAGAAATATCAATGTATGGTTGCCTCTCATATATCCCCTGCTGGGAACTGGCCTGCAACTCAGGCATGTGCCCTGACTGGGAACCGAATTGCAATCCTTTGTTTTGCAGGCTCATGCTCAATCCACTGAGCTACACCAGCCAGGGCTGATGATTAGTGATGTTGAGCATCTTTTCTTATGTCTATTGGCCAGCTGTGTGTCCTCTCTGGAAAAGTGTCTGTTCAGATCCTTTGCCCATTTTTAATTGAATTGCTTGTCTTTCTGGTGTTGAGTCCTATGAGTTCTTTATATATTTTAGAGATCAAACCCTTGTCCGAGGTATCATTGGCAAATATGTTTTCCCATTCAGTGGGTGCCCTTTTCATGTTGCTATTTTCTTTAGGTGTGCAGAAGGTTTTTAATTTGATGTAGTCCTATTTGTTTATTCTTTTCTTTATTTCCCTTGCCCTAGAGGATATATCAGCAAAAATATTGCTGCATGGGGTATCTGAAATTTTGCAGCCTATGTTTTCCTCTAGGACTTCTATGGTGTCACAGCTGATCCAGAGATTACAGGGCTGGTATTATACCCTAAGAATCCTTAAGCACCAATTCAGAAGAAACTATGTACCCCAATGTTCAAAGCAGCATTATTTACAATAGTCAAGTGCTGGAAACAGCTTAAGTGCCTGTCAGTGGATGGATGAGTAGATCAAAAAACTGTGGTATAGCTATAAAGCTGTGTGAGGTGTGTATTTACATCTTGGTTGGGATCTCTGTAACACATCTCTGTTCTTAGTCCTCCTCATGTACAATGTAATTTGAAAATGTTAGTGTATAACAGAACTGATGTTTGTTTTCTGTTTGATCTTCAACAGAGGAAGTAAAAGGGGTTACAGCTCGTTTCTTCTTCTTTTTTTTTTTAATCATTTTAAAGTTGCTACCAGTGTGTGATGAGTGATGGAGAGACATATTGTAGAGTGTTCCATTGCCTAGTTGACAAAGCTGCTTTTGAATGCTGGCGACACCTCACGCTTCTATAATATGCGTTCATGCTATATGACAAAGTGCTCTGATCCTGAGAGCCAAAAGCTCACTCAGTTCAGTGAATACAACTGATCACACTCATTCATTCGTGCTCCTTTTATTCTCTACGGGTGCTTAAACAGCTCATCCTCTGCAAGTCAGCACAAGGATGTTGTTCCTTAGGCGTTTTATCTTTGCTCAGATTGCAGAAGACTGGTGGCTCGTTTATGGTTTTGTATCTGTGTCTAATGCACATATTAACATGACAGATGCAATGCCTTGTGTAGCTACAGTTTTCTGGAAAGGCCAAACTTTTAGGAATTGTTTTTCAGATCTTCAGTAAATTTTTTCTTTAGATTAAAAAACTGTGCGACATTTACACAATGAGATACTGTGCAGCAGAAAGAAAGAAGGAGCTCTTACTCTTCGCTCAACATGGATGGAACTGGAGAGCATTGTGGTAAGTGAAATAAGCCAGATGGCAAAAGACAAATACCATTTGATCTCACCTGTAAGAGGAACCTAATGAACAAAACAAACAAGCAAATTAAAGCCAGAGGCATGGAAACAAGGAACGAACTGACAGTGACCAGAGGAGAGGGTGGGGAGTATAAGGGGAGAAAGAAAGGGAAGGGTCTCATCAAAGAACATGTACAAATGACATATGGTCATGGGATTGACTGGGAGTGTGGGGGAAGGGGGAACAAAGCGCAATGGGGGAGAAACTGGAACAACTGTAATAGAACAAAACTAAAAAACAAAAACGCCATTTTCTATTTCATTCTGCAGTGAAAAGCCTTTTTATGTACCTTTCATAGAAAGTATTATAACAGGAAACAAGTGGGAAATCTTTTTATTCCAGGGAAATACCAGCAAGTGTGTAGGACGGCTAAAGCCATTTACTGTCAAGAGTGCCCTCTGCTGGTTTTTTAATAACATCTCACAGGTCCCCGCAGAAGGAACGCCTGCCTGAGTGTGGTCAGTCGTGTAATAATTTATAGTTTTAGTTTGAACATTTCACCTAAAATGTCATATGGTGAGCTTGAGTGTGATATTGTTATGTTACAGAATCACACCCTTATGATTCGTAATAAAAAGGGACATTATTTGTGCTGGACCTGTGTTTTAGGCTTCAGGGTTTCGTTTGTTGACCAGCTGAGGTTTTTAATGCATTGGTTTAAAAATGTATAAGTATGTCCTGGCCGGGAGGCTCAGTTGCTTGGAGCAACATCCTTGCACCAGAATGCTGCAGGTTCGATCCTGGATCAGGGCAAGTTCGGGAGGCAACCGATCTATATTTCTCTCTTACATCTCTCTTTCTCTCTCTCCCTCTCTCTTTCAAAAGTCAATTTAAAAAATACTCTTAGGTGAGGATTAAAAGATGTGTGTGTGTGTGTGTGTGTGTGTGTGTGTGTGTGTGTGTGTATGGAGGGGGGAAACCCCAGAATACAAATAAGCAACTATAATAGCATCAGGAACAATATTCCATATCATGA